CAGCTATTCCTCTACTGGGTATCTTCCCAAAAGAATTTAATGAATTGTACTATAGTGATATATGTGCACCCATGTTTATAGCAGCACAGTTTGTAATAACGAAAGCTTGGAAACAGCCCAAGTGCCCATCAACTGGAGACTGGATAAAGAAGATGTGGTTTTTAAAATAAAATATGGTACTACTCAGCTATAAAGAATGAGAAACTAGAGACATTTATAGCTAAATGGATGCATATTGAGCCCAAGTGAAATAAATAGGACACACGTGTAAATACCAAATAGTTTCTCTAGTGTGAGAAACTGAAAGTGTAAATAAGGATGAAAAGGATTAATAATGAATAATTGATAATTTGAAATAGAAAAAGTTCCAAAGGTGTAGGGCTGGTGGGAGGGGAAGGGGAAATGAAAGAAGGGAAAGGAAAAATTATGAGAAAAGAAAAAAAATGGAAATGAAATCTATGTAAATAGGGAAGGGTTGAGGGGGTGAAGGGTGCACAGGTAATGGGGGGAAAAAAACCCCAAGATACATCATGTACAGGTACAAGCACCCAATGATAAATGTTAACGTGTTGTATACCTAAAATGTACCAATAAAAGAATTTAAGGAAAAAAAAAAGAATACGTTTGGAACACAGAAGAACATAGGTCTCAGTTATGCTTTATATCTAGATGTCCCCCAAAGCCTCATGTGGCATAGGTAGGGCAATTGGGAAGTGATTGGATCATGGGGGTGTGATACTCATCAGTGGGTTAGTCCATTGATGAGTTTATAGTTAAATGTGATGTTGGGAGGTGAATCCTTGTTGGAGGAAGTGGTCTCTGGGGGCATGGCCTGGAGGGGTCCATCTCTGTTCCTCCTCTCTTGACTTCTCTCTGCTTCCTGCTGGCATGCCATGAGATGTTTCTTCTCTGCCATGTCCCCTTTGCCATGCCGCCCTGCCTTGGAGCCAGCAGACTATAGTCTGAAAACTCTACAAACTGTGAGCTGAAAGAAATCTCTCCTTCTTACACTTGTGGGTGTCAGGTATTGTGTCTCAGTGACAAGATAAGTAACTAAGACAGTCCCTTTTAGAGATTACAATGTACATTAGAAATATTTTACTATAGTAAGTGCAAATACTTCCCAAACCCATTTGACTTAAGTAGCATTTTTCCTGGAGTACCTATTGTGTGGAATTAACATGGGAACTTCAGCTTTGAATGGTGCCATAGAACCTGTAAAACTACCAGCCTGTGGTTGGTGAGACTTCAGACTCACTTGTACTACATATTAGTTTATGGACCACTGCATCATTCCTACATTTGCTTTCAACTCACTTCTATTTCATGACATCTTCTCCTGCCTTCTAAGTCTATGCTGTGCCTGCTCAGACCACAGCCCAACATTCAGCTAAGAGTACAAATGATTCTTGCCCAGGCACAGAGCCACATGGAATCTACATCATGGCACCCACAATCATTAGCACTCTATGGTACCTAAGAGATAGCCAGTGTATGTGCCACTGAGAGTGAGGGAGGGGAGAATGGTGCATGAAGAAACTGTCCCTATGCATAAGTGTGAAATGTGACATGTGACAGTGTGACCTCCTGCTCATATCACATTTGTCCTAGAGTGCAGCTGTAGAAGTTTACCTGAAACATTGTCATTCTTTCAGTCACTTGAAAAGCATTTACTGAAAATCTTTATCGTGTATAGGCACAGTAATGAGTATTTGTCTAAGAAAATGCTTAGACGGCTATTAAAAAGGAAATACACTTTGAGAAATATTAAGGGAAAAGAGTAAAATATGGAGCAATGTTTTAAGGTTTGTTCTCTTATACTTAAAGAGCAATTAATGGCTTAGATGTATGCTGAAAACTAGTAGAAGTTGTGACAGACACTGCTAGCTGTCTACTAAATATTTTCTCCTTTTCTTCCATGGTTATAGACTTTTTGTTAGGCATATTTCCTAGCGCATCTTGCAGTTAAGTGGGGTCAATTAGATCTTCACCAATGGAAGGTAAGCAGAAGCTATGGGCCACTGTTGAGTCTGGACCATATGACACTGGTCTGTGTAGTCCTTCTTGTATTTGTCCCCTTGCTACCAGTTGGTATCTAGCTGTGGTGGTGACCCAATATGGACCAGGGAGATGTTGTCAATTTCCTAGGGAAGAGCAAGGTCATAAGAGCAAGGAACAAGGATTCTCAAATGGCCATGCAATCTATTCTGATTGGGACAATGATAGGACACAGAAATAAGCTTCTATGTTGTTGGGTCTCTTTGCTGGAACAAAGAGCCTTTATGCTTATAATGCAGAAACACACACAAGAATCTTTAATACTGATTGCTTTTAGGAAGTAAAGATGTGTTGTGGAAAGACTGAAGCTTCCTTGTACCTCCTTCTGTAAAGCTTGAATTTAAAAAAGTTCACACATACCTATTAACATATATTCATTTAAAAATAATAATTGAAAGCATAACAGTGTTGACTATCAACAAATCATAGATCTAAGTTTTTATACAGGTGTCTTCAATGAGCACTAAGTGAGTTTCAGAAACATTTTTATTAACCACTGAGTTCACTATCTTCACTTTGTGAAGATATTTGCTAAAGAGGAGATAAAACTGTGTCTTTCATTAAGTTTTGATTCTCCCAGTGGGACACTGTCAAAATGCATGAGCATAACAGATTCATAATTATTAATGCTACTGAAAAAATCTACATTTTTATTTTACCAGAACAACTAGGGACCATAAGAAAGAACTTCTACCCAACAACAAATTCATGTAGTATCAAGAGTGATGTTATAAATTAAAAGGTTTTTTTTCTCCTAAATTCATATATATCAAAAATTTAAGTCCAGAATGTGATGGTAATTAAAAGATGGGGTCTTTGGGAGGTGATTAGGTTGTGAGGGTGAGGGCCTCATGAATGAGATTAGTGCCCTCATAATAGTTACCCCAGAGAGCTTGCTAACTCTCTGTTAAGGCTTGTGTCTAGATGTCCCCCAAAAGCCTCATGAGATTTTAGGTGGACCTTTTTATAGGCAGCTGAATCTAGAGTGTGTGATGCTGGGATTAATGGTGTGTGATTACTAAATTAGCCGACTGATTGGTTTGGCATAGTTCTGGGTGTGGATAATAGGAAGGCCCACTCTAGGTGTGAGTGTTACCCACCCTAAGGATGTGTAGCCTGGGTGGGTATAAAAGGACAGAAAGAAGGCAGGATGGCTGCTGGTGCTTCCTCAGTACTTCACTGTTTTGCTGCCTTCCTGCCTTCTGCCCACCATGAACTGTTTCTTCTCTGCAATGCCACTCTGCCATGCTACTCTGCCTTGGAGGCAGCCAGTTATGAACTGAAACGTCTACAAACTGTGAGCCAAACTAAACCTTTCTTCCTGTAATTTTGGGTGTCAGGTATTTTGTCTCAGCAATGAGAAAAGTAACTAAGACACTCTCTGTCCACTAGGTGAAGAAGCGAGCTGAACTGAGTAAGCTGCAGTTTAGAAGAGGGCCCTGACCAGATCCCATCCATGTCATCATCCTGATCTTGGATTTCTGGCTTTCATGGAAACTGAACTCCAAAACAGTGAGAAATAAATCTCTCATGTTTGTAATCCATCCAATCTATGGTACTTTGTTATAGGAGCTGAAACTAAGACAAGATGTGGAATCTAACTTCCTCTACCTTGTTCTTTTTAGGGAGTCTTTTCAGTGGAACAGTCTTGTTTCTTAGATATTTATTTCCTTGCCTCAGCAAGTACAACCACAAATATCTCTCTATAAATATACCAGAGTCACAAAATAGGATTTAATGAGACAAAATTAAATTGTCCTAGGAAAACTTGTACTGATTTCTATTTTGTCAGTATTAAATAAGATTATGATGCATCATTTTGGTCAAATTCCTAGAGACACATATTTAAAGATGACTCATTGTGCAAGATTAACTAAAAGGCTGTAGTTAAAGAAGGATGGTGTGCTGAATATTTTCCTTCTTTTCATTCCAAAGAGATTTTTCTTATACTTGGATAATTTCCAGTTTCAATTTCATAAGATGCTTCACGACTCACACCTATCCTGGACAGAGGATGCTAAGAACTGAGGCAGAGGAACTATGGGAATAACAGAGGTGGTGAGATGTGCCAAAGTTGTTTAATTTGGAAGAATTGTGTAAAGAACACCAAAGACATCTGACCTTACATCTTCTTCTTCTTCTTTTTTTTTTTTTTTTGGTACCGGGGATCGAACTCGGGACCTTGCGCTTTCGAGGCAGGCGCCGGAACCACTGAGCTAAATCCCCGGCCCCAAGACCTTACGTCTTCTGAGAATGGAAACAAGGTAGAATTAATTTCTTTATTAATAATTACACTAATATGAAAGCTGCTTCCTCTTTGATTTCTACAATGTTTTAAAAATTCTCAAAAAGGTCAGTGTAAATGGCAATTTATTTTCTCTTATACCACTATTTCCATACTGTATAATTATCATACCTTTGTTATATACAATGAAAAGAGATTAATCATTCATCTTTAAGATTTATAGCAATGAGTACTAGTAAATACCACAAATTTCAATTTAGATGTATATGCTAAAAACTGTTTTTAAATGTCTTTATTTCTTAACAGTTTTCCCCTGGACTATCTTCAACTGTTTTCTGGACTGAGGTGGCCATTGTCCCAGAGCTGGTGGTACCTGTGGTTGACTTCAAAGAAGCAGAATATGGGTAGTATGATAGGATACCATTTCCATGAGTAGACTACAAAAAGTGTGACATAGTCTTGCTAGTGACCTCTGTCTCTTGCTGGCTTTGATGAAGTAGAGTGCCTGATGAGAGAGGGCCATATAGCAGGAAACTGAGAGGAACTGCTAACCAACAGTCTGGGAGAAAATGAATCCAGAAAACAGACATGTGATGCTGATGTGTGAGCTCAGAAGTGGGTCCTAACCCCAAAGATGCCTGTGGCCCTGGCCACTCCTCCATTGTAGCTTTGAGAGACCCTGCAGCAGGGGACCCAGACATCCTGTACCTGGACTCTTGACCCTCAGGCACTGTGAGATCACAAACGTGGGTCTTTTGAAACCACCAAGTGTTGGGGTAATTTGTTCCATAGTAATAGTTAAGGGAGAACGATGATTGTATTTTTATTCTAGTGCTGAACCATGGCTTAATATCAGTTAGTATTGCCTAATGGAATCAACATACAAATTGTTATAACGGGAATCATTTTCAGTTAAGACCACGTTCTTCAGACTTTGCCAAAACAAGCCTTCCGCCTTGGGGTTGTCGGGCCACTGCAGGACGGAGCTCTTACAGATCCGCCGCCGCAGCCGCAAGTACTGGGAATGTTGCAACACAGGCTCCAGGAGAATAAACAGAATCACGTCCATGTTTTCATCCATTAGCCTCTGCAAGGCCAAGTAGAAAGCTGTTTTAAAGTTCCAGCTTTTTGCATATTTTTTGGTTAAAACGAATATTGTTTTTTTGCTCTGGTTTATGCTCTGCATGAGGTTATCAATGATGGCTAATCCCGGGTCCCAATCCCTCTCCTCTAAACAAAGGAGGGCATTTTTGCCTTTACTGTCTTCCAGGTGGTAGCGTAGTTCATTTATTACCCAGTCAGTAACAGAAGCATCTCTGGTGTCATAAGAAATGTAAGCATCGTAGAAAGTTTGAGATGTGGAAAGAGACCTGTAGCCTTTTACCTTAGCTAAACACATTTGATACATAAACCAAACATCCCAGTAAAACAAATGGTGAGCCAAGGCAACCAACATAACCAAGATGGTGATAAAGAATGTTAAGAAAAATAATGCCGCTGCAGTGCTATCTGAAACACAAGTTGTTAGCTCTAGAGACACAATGCTCTTCCCGCTTTGGTCCCCAGGACTGGCACAAATGACATCTGTCAATCTAGGAATTGAGACACTCAGATTTTCATCCATCCATCTTCGAAAATCTCCAATGTCACATGTACAGTCGAAAGGGTTTCCATCCAGTTTCAAAGTAGCTAAATTGGTGGTGGTCTTGGTCTGTAGCGTGGATTTGTTGATCATCTTTATCAGGTTAGAGCTTAAATCGAGGTACATCAGACTGCTGGCCCCTGAGAGGAAGCCAGAGGGCAGGTGGGAAATCCGATTCTGGCTCAGCAGCAGGGTCTGAAGAGAAGATGTAAATCTAGACAAGCTGCTTGTTAAAGAGGACAGTTGATTTCCACTTAAATCAAGCACCTGGAGCCGAGGAAACTGCTGGAGCAATGTCCAATTGAAGAAATTTAATATGTTGTCTTTTAAATAGAGATGGATGAGACCCTGAGGCAAGTTCAAAAATGCATCATTTGGGATCCGTTGAAGATTATTGTCAGATAAGTCGAGCCGTGTCAGATTGCTGAGGCATTTAAAAATGGGCCAGTAGCTAGTATCTCCAGTCTTCCACAAAAGGTCAAGGCGGTTTCCACTGAAGTTTAATTCTTCCAGGGACATGCTTTTCAGTTCTTTTTCCTCTGTTAAAGTATAAATGCTGTTGTAGCTCAAGTTTAAAACCTTGAGGTGAGTTAAATTTTGAAGAAATCCCAGACGATGCGTCACCCCTGCTATTTTGAAGTAGTGCTCATTACGGCTGAGATCTAGGACTTCTAAGTTGTGCAGTGCACTGAGAGCATTATCATCATCAAAGTCTAGTTTGTTGTTGGTCAAATCCAAATATTTGACCTGACTCACAGTTGAAAATTCACTTCCATTAAATACTTGACCATTGCCATTGGAAGACAGATTTAAGCAGACAATGTCTTGAAAATCTTCAAATTGCTTTCTGCCAATAAAGAAAATACTGTTTAAACTTAGATCTAAGGCTTTTCCATAGCTGGTACATTGGGGCTTCATTAAAGGATAGGTTGGATGGTAAAAATTTGAATGTGGGTCAAACTCAGAATCTGGTGAACGTGGCTTGCGGTTGTGATTTTGAAAAGAGGATCCATTTGCACAATTTTGCCTGGTATCATCTACCAAGGGTGATATTCTGTTTTCTGACAAGTAAATAACCTTCAGGCTGGGAAGATTTTTGAAAATTTTAAAATCAATTTGCTTAATAAAGTTAACCCCAAGGTTGATGGTCTTTAAGTGTGGAAGACCCATCAGAGGCTGGAAATCCTCTCTTCTAAGTTCCTGGAACACATAACCTCTTAAATGCAATGCCTCCAGTTTCTCAAGCTTAGAAAAGTTGGAAGAAAGATTAATATATTGGAAATATTCTGTCTTCACATAGTTAAAAGATAAATCAAGTGTTTCTAAATTGGGCAGTTTTGTTAAAAATGCCCCAGAAGCTATTTCTTGCACTAAATAGTTGAATTCAAGATGCAGTGCCTTCAGAGAAGGCATGTTGTCAAACCAGGTGGAATCCACAGTTTGGAGAGAAGTGCTAGAGAGGTTTAGGGAGAGAAGTTTGGTCAGATTTTGAAAAGCGAGAGGATGTATCTTAAGTGAAGCACCCCCCTCACAAGGTGTGCAAGGAAATGGTGCATTGAAACACCTCGGACAGTTGCCACTTAAATCTAGTGATGATAAATTCCCCAGTCCCTTGAAGTCTTCTGGACCGATGGTTTGGATCTTGGCATTGCTCAGATACAGTGTTACTAGGGAGCTTGGTAGTTTGGGGGGCACATGGTTAAGAGTATTGAAAGATAGTGACAGCTCCTTCAAGTTTGTAAGCTTTTCAAATGCCCCATCTTTCACTTCAAATGTTTTATTACATGCAAAATAGCAGTTCCAGCTCAAATAGAATTTTTCCAAATTCCCAAGTTCCAACGTGTTATTTTTAGTTACCGAAACTATATTGTTTTGAATTAGACTAAGTTCTCGCAAAGACTCTGGCAAACCAGTAGGTATTTTGTATAGCTGATTGTCTTCAAGCAGCAACTGCTTTAGGTTTTTTAGGTTGAGGAATGCTCCATCTGTAATGTTCATGCCAGTTTTGTTTATATTAGGATTTTCATCCTGGTGCTGCTGATTGGCATTGTGGTTCAGATTTATTCTAGTGAGCTTCTGCAGCCCTTGAAATGATTCATTTGTTATGTGTGTGATGAAATTATCAGACAGGTCTAGTTCCGTCACGTTTCTGCCCACTGTTTTGGGAACTGCTTGCAGTCGACGGCTATTGCATTCCGCAATAACAGAGGCATTCTGCCTACTCTCATCGCAAGGAAAGCTTCTTGAATTTTCAGTGAAGAACTCACAGGAACCAGAGATAAGCAGGAAAATGCAGGTCAGAATGGAAGGCTGAAGGGGCATGTTTTCCTAAGGAAGATAAAAAAAATAAAAGCACAATAGTAGAGTAGCAATATTTGTCAGGTATCATGATGAATCAAAATGTCAATTCTCTTAATAGTTAAATACATGCATCATGTTAGGTTCAGAACCATTTTACTATTTTACCGTGTTCAGCTTCAAGTGCTAAAAGAAGATGAAGCTATCTGACATCATGATGAGAAGACTGGAGAAGTTTTTGCAGAGACATTAATAAAGATGCCCCCTCCCACCCCGTGGCATATAGAGCCTGAGGCTGGATTATGGTTATGGGTTATGCAGTTTAAGCACAGCATGTTATATCTTTATAACACCAACCTATTGGCACAACTCTTGAGGAAACTTTAGGAAGCCCCAAAAGAGAGACCAGATATAGCTTATATTAAATGATCATCCAAGACATTCAAAACAGAGTTATTGCCATCTTATCCATACAACCACATACATCCCTCACTGATGTTTCCCACAACTTTTCTATACCTCTCTGTTGATGCTATGCATGAAGTTCTCTTATGACTAGAAAGTGGACACCTGATGTTGATGGTGATAATAAAACAACGTAGCAGGTACTGTGCTAAGTGCTGCAGAAGCATTTCTTCACCCACACTAAAGCTCACAGGATCACAAGAAACTAGACCTTATTATTATCCATATTTGGCAGATGAAGAGACAAACTCTAATACTTAAGTAACTTTCAGAAGGACAGTACAGTACTGGGCTGAGATGTGAACCAATCTGAGTCCATATTTTTCTGTGCTAAGGATTGGATCCAGGGCCTCCAGTCTGATAGGCAAGTGCTCTGCCACTGAGCCTTATCTCTAGCCCTCAGTATATGTATGTATGTATGTATTTATTTGTTTATTCATTTATTTTTCAGTATATGTTTTTAACCAATGACCATCATGCCACACAATTTCCTTTGGAAATCCTCAGGCCAGTACAGAACTTCAAATGTAGACAGCACTCAGTAAACTGTGGAATGGCTACCCCTCATTCGTCTCTTATGCAGACATTGGTACCAATGCCCATTTGTTTATTAGTTTTGAAGCTTCTGTTAAGGAAGATGTGGGGCTTTATGCTTTTTCTGCATCCACTATAACACGTAGTAGAGTGCTCACTTTCTATGACTATTTCTAACATAGAAAGGGCTGAATGCATTACTTTTGGTAAGCCTACAGTGCAATAAACAGATTTATGTGACTGACTTGATCAAGAGTTGTGCTTAAGAGGACTCTTAAAATCTTATTTCACTGATTATGGAGACCAACTAGGCTGAATTAGCCCTTTTATTAAACCCCAACTCATGCCTTCATTGTGAGTTAAAGCAGAAAAGCTCTCTCTTTTTAAATTCTCCTACAATTTAGGGCTGGTGAACTAGCACCTTTATATGTTATACCTTCAAATGATACAAAAGATTTTTATGTGGATGTTGATTATTCTGAGAATCAATAATTACTGCACATTTCTTCTTCTTCTTCTTCTTCTTCTTCTTCTTCTTCTTCTTCTTCTTCTTCTTCTTCTTCTTCTTCTTCCTCTCCCTCTTCCTTGTCTTCCTCCTCATCTTCCTGCTCCTCTTCCCCTTCCCCTTTTTCTTCCCCTTCCCCTTCCTCCTCCTCCTCTTCTTTTTTACCAGGGATTAAACTCAGGACCCTGTGCTTGTGAGGCAGGCATCATGCCACTGAGCTAAATTCCCAGCCCATTACTGCTCATTTCTAATGGTCAAGGCAAAGTCAGCTCCTTATGAGATGAAAATTAGAGCGGAGCATAACTTTCAGACATTTTCAGTTGCTTATAGTTATTTCAAGCACAGCAATATCAAGGCACTACTGCTTGATGTTCAATTTCTACTGAAAGAAGGCACTGCTTTACCTGGTGTGGTAGGCAGAATTTGAAGACAGGACCATAGCTTTTGTCCTCTGCTATGTCCTCTCTGTTTATGTTACATGATATGGCAAATGGGAGATTTTCTGGAAGTGTTTAATAACAGGAGCCTTTAAAAGCAGAGAGTTTTCTCTGACTACCGGCAGAAAGAAAGTCTGAAATATTGGAAGCTGGCTTAAAGGTGAAAGACCCTCATGGCAAGGAATATTAAAAGGCATTAGAAGCCAAGTGTGGCTCTCTGGACAGCTGGCAGGAAAAGGGGCTATATCCCTACAATAGGCTTAAGGGACCAAAATGGATGCATGATCTGAGTGAAATTGGAAGTGAGGTTTTACCCAAAATCTCCAGATAGAAACCCAGTTTGGCCAATATGTTGATTGTAGCCTTAAGAGAACTGGAGCAGAGAACTCAGAAAAGCCTGCCCAGATTCTAAACAGTGGCAATTTAAGCTAATAAACTGATGCTATGGAAACTCTATATTTGGGAACTGTCTGTTATGCAGCAGTAGAAAATGAATGCACATCTAGAAAATAAATTTCTAAGATGACGTATGGCTTGAAAACGTGTAGCTTTGCACCCCCTCCAGACATCTCCAGGCAACATATCCTCATGGAGAGACAGAGGTACGCCAAAGGGCTGGTGAAGCTCAGGAATGCATGGACTTTGGGGGAGAACCTGGGAAATAGATTTGTTTGGGGATGTGAGTAGATCTAAGCCTGCATAAATTCCAACCTGAACGTTATTGGATTTGAAGGCCACATCTAGACTGTTCCCTGTCTTTGTCAGCCAGGGGTGCTCTGAGGAGTCTATTTAATCACACTCACTACTTATTCCCTCACAACCTACTGGGTAGATAGACTTGCATTGAATACATGAACATTGTGAGATTTCAACTGATTGATAGAAAAAAAATGAAATTGCTAAGAGAGTACCTGGCACACAGAGGTAACTAACAGAGATGTTGAGGAGGTTATTAAGATCTTTGTCACCACATCCAATGGATAATGCCCAGTCCTTGTCTTCATGAGCACAGAAATGGAAGGCACTAGAAGAAAGTCATGGATTTAAGATAAGGAAAATGGATTTTTAAAATGTATTTGTTTATTTAAATCAATAACCCAAAATTATATATACATATATATATATGCACACATATGCATATACACAGATATACATATATACACACATATAAAATTATGCAGTAGTACCATGGTTCATGAACCTAATTCTTTTCACAATTCTGGTCACAAACCAAATTGGATGAGAACCGACTCAAATTCAATGGTTAGGTTGGATGTTGACCTTATGGGGAAATTTGATTCGGTTCTTGACTGATTTGGGTTGTGACCAGCAACATGGAAAGAATTAAGTTTGTGAATCGAAGTACCACTCTATATGGTATACAACATGATGTTTTGAAATATGTATGCACTGTGGAATAGCTGAATCAAACTAACATATACATCACCTCACATACTCTTTTTGTGTGCTGAGAACACTGGAAATGTATTCCCTTAGAGATTTTGTTTTCTTTGTCTTCCTTCCTTCCGTTTTTACTTCTTTTCCTCCTCCTCCTCCTTTTCTCTCTCTCCCTCCCTCTCTCCTCTCTCTCTCTCTCTCTCTCTCTCTCTCTCTCTCTCTCTCTCTCTCTCTCTCTCTCTCTCTCTCTCTCTTTCTCTCTCTCTGTCTCTCCCCCCCTTTTATGGTACTGGGAATTGAACCCAGTCATTATTATTAAACATAGCCACCATGTTGGACAACAGATATCTTTAACATCATTCCTTTAATCTGATTGAAATTTTGTAAACTTTGACCAACAGATCCCCAATGCCCTACCCCAAGCGTGAATTTTGATCTTTGTCTGAGGAGTATTGTAAGCCTTTGGGGGGTTAAAGCAGGCTGGTGTCACCCTTAGATGGACCCTGCAGTGATCACTGGCAAGAGGATGCAGACCATCAGATGTGAGATGGTGATACCTCGAGCTAGGTTGGTGGCAATGGACACAGTGAGAAATGGATTCCAGGGATACTTAGGAAGTAAATCTGGGGGACATAGCAATGGATGTGTAAGGGGAATGGGGGTAGAGAGGGAGAATAATTTATTCAGAGTGACTTCTAGGGTCCTGGGCTGTGCACCTGGATGGATAAGGGTGACGTTCAATGAAAAAAGTGTTCAGTGGAGGGAGAGGAAAGCAGGTATTATTCATAAAATCGAACATGTTGATTTTGAGTTAAGTTTGCATTGTCCACATAGAAATGTGCAGTAGGCAGTTGAATATATGGATCTGAAACTCAGATGAGAGTTCTACTAGAAGAAGGAATTTGGAAGGCATGGCAATTAAAGCCATGGGCAGGAATGAGATCATCCTGGGTCTTCCACAGTGCACTTTTGGAAAGAAGAATTTTCCTGTGTTTCTAGTAATTTTATAATTACATTTTCTCACACTGAACTATCCCACTGGGATTGTTTGGCATAAAATGTGAGATGTAGACTCACATTATTTTTTGTAAATGGAGACTCAGTTGATCCAACATCATTTATTGAATAATCTTCGGCTCACTGAGTTGATATACTCACTATATTATGCACTAACTTTCCTGTGTGTTTGGATCTACATCTAGACTTTCTGGTCTCTTTCATCAGTCCATTTGCATTTAACACACATTTAATACATATAAACTTATGCAATAATGAGAAGACAAAGAACTCAATAGAAAAATGTACAAAAATAGTAACAAGAGTTCACATAAAAAAGAAACATATGCTGTCTACCTCACAAGCACAAGGACCCGAGTTCCATCCCCGGTACCAAAAACAAATAAACAAACAAACAAAAAAACATAAATATCACCTTTTTTAGGTACTGAAGATCAAACCCAGGGCCTTCACACTGAACTATACTCCTAACCCTTAAAGAAAAGTTTTTTTGAGACAGGCCTCAACAAGTCACTAAATTATTCAGACTGAGCTTCAACTTGAGATCCTCCCATCTCAGCCTCCCAGAGTGCTGGGATTACAGGCATGTAGCAGCACACCTAGCTATAAATATTTCTTAAACATAGAAAAACATACTGTCATAAAGAAGGATAAACTCGAGGTATTTTTAGGTAAATGGATGCACTTCGAGACCATAATCTTAAGTGAAGTAAATCAGACACACAAGTTTAAATATTGTGTTGTTTCTCTTGTGTGAAAGACCCAAAGTATAAATAAGGAACAAAATAGAGGATAGATATTAGGGAGTAGGAAGAGCTTTTTCAAATGGGAAGGGATCAAGAGATGGGGGAGGGGGAGGGAAGGAAAGCAATAAGGATGAAAATGAGATTTTGCAAACGGGGAGGGGAAGAAGATTTGGAGGGAGGGGAGCAGAAGGGGACGAAAAATTAAATGTGTTTTGTACATGCACAAATCCTCCATGATAACTGATGAATGCAAACATGTACTACACACACACACACACACACACACACACGGTAAGTTACACACACACACACACACACACATGGTAAGTTAAAAAAAGAAAAAGATACTCAACCTCACTAAAAATATTGTATAGGTAAGGATGTTGGGAGGCACATGCTCTCATATTTTGGTGGCAGAAGTCTGAATGAATACCATCTTTAAGATGGGCAGCACTCTGTAATACTGTATCTGTCAAAACTGAAACATACACTTGGAGTCAGCAATTTGAATTTTAAACATAAATCTTAAAGACATACCTCCACATAAGCAAATGACTCTATACAAAGATGTTTAGTTCAAAGCTGTTAGCAATAGCAAAATATTGGAAATCATCTAAATACTTGTGACTCACAGTGTGGTTATATTCCTTCAGTGGAATACTGTATAACAACTCTGTGTTCATGAATTCATTCTACAAATATTTATTGAGCATATGTTTTATTTTAAGAGCTGTTTTCAAGCTGAGGATGCAACACTGAAAAAAAAAGAAAAACAGATGAAAATACCTGCCCATTTGGAGTGAAATGACGGTGAAAGACAGACTTTAAGATGGTGGAAAGTACTGTGGAAAAAATAAAGATGGGAAGGAAGATGGCTCTGTAGAATATTCCTCAATTGGACTTGTCTGGAGTTTCTGTCCCAGTTGGGCTGAAGTCATAGAGCAAGTCATTGGGAGAGGAAGACCTCAGAGGTGCGAGGCCATTCTGGTGCCCAGAGTTCATGCTATCTGTATGACTTCCCCTGTTGATATGGACTTTGACCATCTGGCTGACGTGGTGCCTGTCAGGTTCCTACTATAATTATGAGCCGTAAATTCATAAAACATTCATTTTAAAGAAGCCCATGGGGATGTGCTTGTTCGGTGCGGACCTGGTACCTCTTCTGTGAAGTGGCAGCTGAGAAGACTCAGGCGCTCTCTATGGCCGATGAGAAGCCCAAGGAAGGAGTCAAGACTGAGAACAACGATCATATTAATTTGAAGGTGGTGGGGCAGGATGGTTCTGTGGTGCAGTTTAAGATTAAGAGGCACACACCACTTAGTAAACTAATGAAAGCCCATTGCGAATGGCAATAGGGTTTGTCAATGAGGCAGATCAGATTCCGAGTTGATGGACAGCCAATCAATGAAACAGACACACCTGCACAATTGGAAATGGAGGACGAAGATACAATTGATGTGTTCCAGCAGCAGACAGGAGGTGTCGACTAAAAAGGGAACCTGCAACAACTCTACTCCAGAACTCTGTTCTTACAGACTAAGAATACATTCTCAATTAGAAAACTGCAATTTGGTTCCACCACATCCTGACTACTACAGTATAGTTTTCTCTATTCTTTCATTTACCCCTTCCCCATTCCTTTATTGTACATAAAGCACAAGCATATTGCTTTTTTTTTTTTTAACTAAATGGCCAACAATATGTTTTAATTGACATCAGATGGAGATGGGCTGGGGAGATACTGGTTCTGTGAAAATAATTCCCTCTCTCCATTAGTGGCATGCTCATCAGCTCTTATCTTTATATTCCAGTAAGTTATTTTGCTCTCACTGTTTTAACAGAAAAGACAACAACATAAAAAATCCTTGCATACCTTGTTTGATTGGAGAATTTTAATATTTTTCATTTATCATTATAAAACCAAGGACAATTTTATAACTTTTTTGTACATAGCTGTTACATGTAGGGCAATCTGTCTTTATGTAGGAGTAAATTACTCTTTAAAGGAAAAAGAATCCTAGATAGTTTTCCCTGTAAGTCAAGTGTCTTGTTGTTTAAATAAACTTCTTGTTTAAAATAAAAAAAGAAGCCCATGGGGAGCATGTCAGAATAAGGCCAGGTTCCAAACAGTATTGGTAGGTGAGACATTTTAGGTGGATAATTTGGCAGTCCTCTGTGGCCTCACTAGCCTCAAGGTAAGGTCCACATCTACCTCATGTGAAGCAGAACAACTGAGGAGAAAAACCTCTAGGCACACTAGCGACCCAGAGAAGTTCACTCAAAATTCTTTCAGGATGAAAATGGCCTCCCAGGAGTCTGAAATAATTTATAGTAAGCTATGGATCATGAAAATGAACAAAACACTCCAGAGGACAGTCCTAAGCAAAGTGCTTGAGATTCCTAATGCAACCTTTCTCCAAAACAGTACCGAAGTAAGAACATGAGTTGACAAATTCTGAATAACCACAATTTGGAGAATCCATGAATGAGAACAGCAGAAAAAGATGACTAGCTACATAGTTAGCAAAGAAGTTGAGAGGAAATTACTGATCATTCGTTCAAGTGTCTACATTCCATGCAGGACCTCAGAGAGTTTGAGGAAATCACTGTCACGCATTTGCAGTGTTCTGGCAGAAGTCTTCGAGAGTGTCATTAACAGCACCTGGTAGCATGAATCCCAGCTCATGCCATCCATCTGAGCCAGAGAGAGAGAGAGAGAGAGAGAGAGAGAGAGAGAGAGCCAGTTCTCAGGGGCAAGATCTTCCTCTCAGCCACACCCATGCTTTTGTCTGTCAGAATCTGAGTCCAGAAGGATATCAAAGGGAAACTGTTCCCAGACAAAATGAAGAGTACCAAAGA